TCCGTTCTTGGTAACGGGGTGGGGTACAATGAACGTGCATGGGTTTTGCAATAGTATCTAATGAAATTTTGAGGTATTTTTTTTCCCCCCTCTCCCTACCGTTGCAAGCTTCTGACTGGCTCTCTCAGTCCACCCTCCCCACCATCACCATTTTCTGTGCTTTCTCCTTGCCCTCCGGCATTGCTGTAAGAAGCTGGCGGAGCAGTAAGGTCAGACGGGGCTGCAGCAGATGTTTGCCACATGTCAGCAACTGACAGCGGTCATCTAAAGTTGAAGGCCAAACAAGCTGAGACTGGGTGTAGGGTCTGTGTTGAACTGTAAACGATCTTTGGTCGCGGTGGGCATGTTAAAACCTGTTTTGGGTAATCAGGCACTTGAGCAGCAAGTTTCTGTCGTTCTCAGTGAAGAGTTATGATTTAAATGAGGGAGCAGAGACCTCTAGACTAACTCTGTTCCTTTAATTCCTGTCTAATGCAGCATCAGAAAGATGCCATAATCAGACTGGTGAGCTAGGTAAGAAAGCATAAATTTATTATTAGTGTGATTTCTTTTTTTTTTTAAAAATAAATATGGTTTTTGTGTGGAGTGGAACTGTGCTTAGTACTGAAAGAAAAGTAACTGCATTCCCTTTGTCAGGGCACTACAGGTGAGGTTGTGGTGGATGGGTTTTTTTGGGGGTTGGGGGGAAGCAGTATTTGGGTTGTTTTGCTTTTTCCCACCCCATTGTGGCCAGTTATTTTCAGAACACTCAACAACTGACACGCCAGAGAGCTGGATTTCTTTATTTTTTTGTAAATGCAGTCTTCTTATCTACATAACTGTCTTAGCAATAAAGTTTTTGAAAGTTAGAGGATAGATCTCAAGACTCCTTAAAAGCCTTGGCTTAGAGCATCTGCTATATGAGTATTTACTGGCTTTGCCTTTCAGGCTATCTTTTTAAAAATGGCTTTCCTAGAAGGAAAGGGAAGTGGAAGGGATGAAAAATACAAATTTTATTTGATAACATTTACCTTTCTTGTTGGGGGAGGGGGTGGTGGGTGTGATGCAGGGCTCTGAAGCAAAAGCAGAGAGGGGTGGTGGGTTTGTGACAAGGAATGGTTTAGGGATGTCTCTTCCCAACCTCTGCCCAAGACAGTTCATGGTGTTTGGTGAGGTTTGGGTGGTGGGTTTTTTGCTGCTGTTGAGGTAACAAGCAGGAGGGTCAGAATATGCAGAAGATGGCCTGAATTTCAATGAATTATGGTTTAGGTGTCAGGTGCTGGATGTATGCTGTTGAAAGTGTTGTTATAGGAGTAAGTGCATAAATCTATTTTAATTGCTTTCATTAAAAAAAAAAAGTTTAAAATCATAAATACTATAGGTTGCAAACAATGTAAGCAAATAGTACAGTACTACACAGCCACATTTATACCGTAAATAAAATATATGCTGTTATAGAGTAGAAATCCATTATTTTTAGCAAAGTTAATAAGTATTTCCAAAGAGATGTTGCATTGCTGAGGCTATTCTAGGCTGATAGGAAGAGTGTTATTTGAGTTGTTCAGCAATAATCTCTTAGTGCTTGTGTCATGACAGCAGATTTCTGAAATGTTACTGAGTCAAAGTCACACTTAATTCCCTTGATGAGTGACATAGTGAGTGAGAGCAATTATCTCCAAATTTAGCTTTTCTCTTATGCTCAAAATTATGTATATGTCCCTAAAATATTAAATGAATGGCTTCTAAACAATCAAACTTCAGTCTTGCAAAACTGCTTGCATGCTATTCAGTTCAGTATTTGTGGTGTGCAACGAACGGCCTGTGCCTATTGTTTTTGTTCCCAGATTAAATCTCTGAAGGCTTTGGCAGTCTCAAGCTCTGTTGAAGTCATTGGGCTCTGAAGATGCTTGCAACTTTATTATGTTGTTGTTAAAAGTGTTAGAATTTTCAAAGGCCTACCCACCAAATATTGCAAATAACAGTAGCAAAACCTTTTCATTTTGTACAAACACCAGTGTGACTTGGAGACCACTCCATCCGCCAGATGTACATCTGTTTGAGCAAAGGGTTACCAGAAACAAGTAACAAGAATATTGAGACCGTTGCTCAATAACCACAGCCATTATTTTGCAATATTTATTGAGCTCTGCAGGGGTTTTCCTGGGATCAGAACTTGGCTGGTTTTAGTAGCAATATTTTCAGTTGTGTCATGTGGATTGTTTCATGTTGTTAGAGCTGAATGCTGTTATCAGCTGCTCTTTCAGAATTGCTAGTTCTAGATCTTGCAGCAGTGCATTTCTGTGCCGTAACCTATAGCAAAACGCCGTGTAATTTGACGACCCTGAGTCTCTGGTGTGTATCACTATCCAGGGACTGTGTCTGGGCACCTTTCCTATTTAACCTGCTTGGCTGAATATCATGCACCCAGGAGCGTTATTTTGAAAACTTATTCCTGAATGTTTAGGTGTAAAGTGTCCCAAGAGAAGCATATAGATAGCTGCCACTTAAACCACGTTTGTAGGAATGACACATGGGATTTTAAGACGACCTTCATGGGTTTTACCAAAAGTCAGCCCGCATACTGCTTTGAGACACAAGTACAATCAGATGCTTTTTCTTGTACAGTTAAAATATATGTATGTTTGAGGTTTTTTTTCTCAATAGATGTGCATATCTTTCCAGAAAGAACTACTGTTCTTAAGCAGCAGGTAAGGAAAAGAATATGGGTAAAATATTTGGGGAGGAATGGGAAAGGACATTTAATATATTTAATCTTCTTATACATTTTTCTACATTAAAGTCAACAGGCTGCAAATATATTCTGCTACAAAGCTTTGTGTAAGAAATATCTCTATAAGAAAATACATCTCATTAAACATTTCCTGTAAATAAATTATCCCAAATAACTATGTTTTGCAAGAGGAAAAGGGAGAGTAGGCCAATGATTGATAAGAAGAGCTAAAAATTGCTGAAAGCCTATTTCTGCAATCTGCCCTGCTCATGCTGGGTATCATTTTCTTTTATACGTAGTCACAATGAGAGCAGTAGAGCTCCTCTGCTGAGTATGTGCTGTGTCAGTGTAAATAACACTTGCAAAATTGGTTCCTGTAGTTTTTTTAATATCTTGAAATTATGCTATTTCTGAGCCTTATTCCTGTTTCAGTTACATGGGAAAAACTGAAATAAGCAGAGTTGCAATGATAGGACTGCAAGATAAAACTCTGAGGCTATTAAAAAAAGATGACCCTGTCTCTGAGCAGTCCCTCTAGGTCAATAAAAACTAAAAAAAGAGGTGTGTGAAATAATACTACTACTCTTATATAGACGCTTATGAGAGATAAAGGCAATGTATCTGAGGTCTGTGTTCTAATTAGCAGGTGGTATAGCTAACCTATAGCTTTAAAACAACCGCTGGTGGAAAAAGGTGTCAGGTATGGGTGACATGGTCATCAAAGTTAAACTACATACTGGTCTACCCGCGTTGTTCAGAACTGATGATTAAACAGAAAAGTCCCTTGTATTACAAAACATAAAAATGGGTAATTATAAATGGGTAATTACAACTTAGCAGGAGGTCAATTACAGAGTCAGACTTCTTTAAAGAAGAAATAAGTCTCTTTACCAATGTCTATACAAAGGAATACTTGCAAATAAGTAAAACGAAAAAAGTTTGAAAAGACCTGGGAGACAAGTCAAGGGATAGGGACTGTCCTTTTTTTTTTTTTTTTTTTAACCAGTACGCAATGTAGAGTTGTCGGCTGTTTCCACAGTCCATGTACTTCCATCATTCCTGGCAAAACAGTCCAGACTGAGAGGACATCAAGTTCAGGCTGAATACATGCTGGAGGCTGGTATGCTGTGACATCGCGTGATGTGTAACAAATCGTTTGCGGTCGTACCATCTCCTTACATCCTTCTCTGCAGGAGAGGAGGTGCTCACAAGAGCCAACTCCTTTTTCTTTGCTGCCTCTAAGAAACAAATCTGTTATACTTCTGCAGAGTGCCATCAGTAGCCTGTTGATACTAATAAAATGTAAAAATTTGAGTTCGTAGCAGTACGTTCTAAACACCTCAACAAATGTCTACATCATCTGTGATAACAGCAACAGTGAAACAACTTCATAGCTCTTCATGTTACGCACTTCAACACTCTGCTGTTTCTTTTGGAAATGTCTATAATGCAAGTATGCTTAGGCAAGGAAAGTATATTTAGGACTAATGAGCAATTGCCTGTATATAATTCTGGATTCAGCATGCACATATTTGCTTCATCTGTTCAACCCAATGTGTACTAGCAGTAAACTGAGGCAAATACAAGTGAGTAAGTGCCATACTATGACATTGAACTACATAAAGCATTTCAATTTGCCTATGTGTATGAAACAAAACCCTCTTTAAAATGCCTCCTCTTAGAGAAACTGCTGCTCTCTTGAAATTGTGAGATGGCAAGTTTCCACCTCTTTCACGAGGGCCCGTGAACCACAGCACTCTTGTCCTGCAGGAGTGCTTTCTTTGCTCAAGTGTCAACCCTGGATGACAAGGGCGTGTGGACATTCACAGTAACTTCTATTTCCACACCTGCAATGTGGCCAATAATGTGTTGACAGATGAGTCTTCCTGGCATGCACTGCTTCCTATAGGAATACAAGGTATACAATTTATTTAGCAGTCATTACCATGCTGGAAAGCTACCGTAGCCCTAACACTGAACCCCCGAAACATCACAGAGCAAGACAGCAAGGTAAGTGACATTAATTTCCGCTGTACTTTTTTGCATACTAGCATTTTCCACAAACTGTAGAAGTTATTTACAGAAGAGCTGCACAGTAGGAGAACTCCAGCGGCACTTGTGTTTACCACCAGCTCAAAAAGAAATGCTTTTGGTGTGATTTCTACTCCTACCCTAACTGTTAGTTTAGCCATTCTGCTTTTCATTTGCAGTCCTCATTTCCCACCATGCCGCCGTAATGCGTTAAATACATAAAGCCACAGTCACTTAATACTATCTTCCCAATCCTCATTCAGATTTTCTGGCACACGTGAAGTCTCGATTTAGAAGAGGAGGTCGCATCTTTCCATACTTTGCAAGACAACCCCTTGGCACAGTCACATCGTTGGAAAATCTCCAGTCCGTGGGACCCTTTCTTGCGCTGTTTGGTGCACACCTCCCCCTGATGCAACACAGGCTTGCAAATTTTGGTCCAGAAATGGCGAGCACAGCAGTGTCCCTCAATACAGTCTGATGACCGTAGGCAGGGATCGCCTTCGTGTCCTAAAAAGAGCAACCAAACTATTTTACCTCACGGGAAAACATGAAATTACAGACTCGGTGCAGACTGATGCAAATGAAGCTCAGAAAAAAGGAGAGATGATATTTCCATCTGTGGCTATTTGAAGGATGTAAATACAAGGGAAGATATGCATTAGGAAGGTTCAAGGGGGTAATTAATGAGACCTGCCATAAGACTTAGTAAGGAGAAATTCAGCTGCAGGATTGTAATCAGAATTCTAAGTGCCTAATTACATGACTGTTACAAGAGAAAGATGTGTGCAGTCTTGCACAACTGAAAAACGGATTGTCAGTCTGCCACCGATACAGAGAGGAAAGCAGATGCTATTTCAATCACAGGAACTGTTGGTTGATGTTACATCGCTTTTTGAGTCGTGCTGTGAATTCTCACGATAGACATTGACTCACTGTGAAATTACTGCCTATTTCTGGTTTGCATTGCTGTCTCTTAACAGCAATAACACAATTCGTAACATGAAGGAACAAAGCATTGTAGTGCAAACGTGATCTTACCTTTTATGTGTGACAGCTTGGAGCGTGGCCTCCCTAGGTTTTGCCATCCCAAATCCTTGCTAGCATAATGACCGTTCTTCTTGTGGCGTGGCCCTTCTAGAGCAGGGATGTGAGGTGTAAGGATGCTTTCGGTTACTGGTATGCAAATACCTGCAAGGAAAAGAGAGCCAGTCACAGATTTGAACAAGAGGAAAAGCAACCAACAGACATACACAGACCAGGACCAGGGCCACAAAAGTGGTGGGGCTTGGCCTCAGTGATGCTCAGCTCTAATCACACCTCCGTCCCTGATCACATTTGTGAATCAAACCACATTGAATGTAGTGCTGTGATTTCAAGCAGCAGCAGCAGCATTTTTGGGTTTCCTCACCCCAAAATGGGAGAAAGTCTGGTAGTACACAAGCCTTAAACATAGAAATACTATTAAAGAAAATAAAGTGGATTGGAATTAAGTAGAAAATGAAATTTTCTTGATTTAGAAAAAGAAGCATAGTCACCCAGAAAAAAAATACTGTTGCTGGGAACACTCAGAGACTTAGACGCTGTCAAAATGCTGATTTTAAGGAGGAAAACCAAGAAATGACTGATGTACCATTGTTGCAGCGGTTCCCAGGGCAGCACATGCCATCTCTGTGGCAACGCTTCTTCTTCCTCCGGCACATCATGCATGCAGATGTTGCTTGATGAGGACTGTGACAGTATCGCCCAACTTCGCATTCCTTATCATTGGTGCAAGGATAGGCCTGGTGGGTAAAAGAAAAGTTTAGTGAAGCACTCCTTTGTACAAGGCATGTACACGCAGCCCATTTAAAAAACAAAAACCAAGCAAACATGGAAACCCCCAAAGAAAGAAAGTGACAGTTGAGGTACCATTCACTGGGGCCAGGAGATACAGGCAGGGATGTGTCACTGCAGTCCTGTAGCAACCTTTAAGCTCATGCTACTGGTGAAGATGTATCTGCTTAAAGAATCGGGGAGATGACAGAAACGGCTCCCTTCGCAGTTTCATCTTTTCTTGCCTCAAACATATGTTGGCACGACAGAACTCCTATTTTTGTGAGTTCAGACCTCTGATTCCTAGACAAGAGCTTAAAACTCCACAGTGAAGAATAAACAGAGCCATAAAACTCCTCTCGGTCAGTAAAAATCCTCAAACACACCCACCAATAGGTGACATTTTAATTTGAACTCCAAGGAGGCATTTTCCTGTGATAGGTGTCAAACACACTGATGGATAATGAATTCACCCTTCTCTACACCACATTGGTACAGGCTCCTCTGCAATTGCACCTCCCCACTGGCCCACACCTGTTGGACTCCTTGGAAACAAACAAACATCACTGGTCAGCATTTCACTTTGATAACCTTTACTTCACTTACGGGCTTAGTATACTCCTTAAACTTGCCACCTGCTAAACAACACCCTATGGGTATGCAGTAGGGAATATATTATGGAGCTCAAACGGACTCGCACATGTAATTCCCTGCACGCAGATACACACATATACAATTCTATAATCATCAAAACCAACATACTCTTACAGGAAAACTAACTTCTAAAAGAAGGGTGTGAAAGTACTATATTCTCCCATAAAGACAGAGGAAGTTCATTCCTACAAACGAAAAAGACATGATGCTTTAAGGAGTTGTAACAACACAGACCGCCACATTCCAGCATCCTTTCTGCTGACTCCCACACAGCTACAACTATGCTCTCTGTCTGCACCTAATTTTACTGCCTATTAAATTAATCATAGATTTTTTTTCATTCCTTAAAATTATACTTGAGCAATTTGTTTAGATAAAAAGATGAGAATAAATTTTGGGCACTTTCTGGAAAATGATGTTTACACTTCAACTAATTTTCTCCAGCATTTTACATAAATCAAAGTTTTGCTGTCACTGTTTTCAAAATGACTCTTGCAATTAATCATTCACCACAAACAAAAAGCTCAACTGACTAATTTTCAATGTAGGCTGATTACTTTTCTAATTATATTTTAAATCGAGGCTTGATTGTATTGCTCTCAGAAAAGAAAAACTTGGAGGCTGTTGAGAATTTGCTCTGCAAGTTGTTCTTTTAGATGAAGTTCTTGTTTCTCTGTCTTTCTGCCGTTCTGTTGAGAATCGCAGAAGAAACAGGAGGTCTGATAATAAAAATAAGCAAATTTCTCTAGTGCCATTAGTAGGAGGAGGAACCATACCATTTCTCCTGTGATTTCATTAGTTGTTTTCTATGTCAAAATTTCCTTTACAGTACCAAAAGTGCTGGCTGGGTATTTCCCAAGTGCTGCTGCCGCATTACTTCTGCCCTCGGAATACGTGTCTTTGAAGAATGATTCCGGAGTGCAGCTGTTTGGAGTAACCTGACGTATGGGTAAGTCTTTCTCCCTTAAGAATAGACATTTATTCTTGAGAAAGCCAAAGGCGGCCAGATCTTTTAGCTAGGAGTAGCAATAAGAGACAAAGGCAAGCACCCACCTGTTCAGTACTCTTATGGCATTAAGTGGCTTCTACCTACTCTACCAAAGCAGAACTACATGCTCTCCCCTAAACCTCATCACTTCTTTCCCTCATTTTTCCAGAACGGAATCATTAATGCTGACTTACCATTTATGATATAGTTACCACAAAAGTAAGGCTTCCCTGGCTTAAATGAGACCTTACTAAACTAAGGATCTTACAATGCAGAAAAGCAATTTTATATAGACCTGTGCATGATTATACTGAGTTTGGAAAACACTAACTCTGCTAGCTGGGGGAAATGCAAATAAAAAACAGATGGACTAGCTAAAACCTGGAGATGAAGGCATTTTAGACCCTTGTCTGTCATCAAGACCTTCATAACCGCATCTTTTTTCCAATATGGGCATGTGGTATACACCTGCAACTTGTCAGCAAGAAGCCTACTTGCAGTTTTCTTCTGGTTCCTCAAATAGCTTTTAAAAAAAGAATTCCCTGATCCTGAATGGTGCTAATGAATTCTCTCACATACCACATCTAGTGACTGTTTTACTTTTGGCTTTTAGGCTGAGTGACATATAAAAGATATTTTAAGATATGCATCTAATTGCCAACTCTCAGCTTTAAGAATGGTAAAAGTAAGAAAAGACAATTTTGACATTAAAAATTGCTAAGGAAAGTGACCTAACTCAGCCTTCAGTCCTACTCTAGAGCCCCATCCTAAATAAAGATGACGCTTTCGAAATGAAAAAATAAGCCAAAACATTGACCTGCCTAAGGAAAAGTACTGCAGCACATCAAAAAATAATTTTGTGTTACGTGTAGCTCAGACAACAACTGGCAAGTCCATTGAAAACCCCAAAAGACCAGCTGCCAGCCAGCTATAGGAAAAACCCTCTTGCAACTGTCTGATGCCATCAGTTGCCTTGATCTTGCTTCCAAAACCACCATCCATTTCGTATCCTAGCTATCAATCACAGGGCGCTTGGAACAAAAACGCCTGCATAGCCTTGTGTCTGTCTCCTAGTCACTAGACATACACTGGAATAACTCCCACTCCCAGCAAAGTAATTTCTATCACTGTGCAGCATTCAGTATTATAACACAAACATAAAATAAAATAATACAGTGTGTACATCGCCTTGGCTATCAGGAGGGAAAACGCGTTCATAATTCTCCCATTGCTGGCAGCAGCTGAGCCAATCTAGGTACAATTGTGTATTTATTTTTTTTAAATACAAGATAAAGAAAGCATACTTGTAAAAATGTACATGCTAACAATTGTCTACACGAGTCAAGGTTTTCAAAATCTCCTACACCACGCTGCCTGAAACACAGTCTTTACGTTGAGAGAATTGCAGAGAACATTTCCTATATACAACACAAAGACACAGATCAGTCCCAGATGGAGAGGGGAAAAAGCAAGCTGTAAACCAGCTCTACTTCCCCAGCAATGATAACGAATTCTACAAGGCACATCATCCCTTCACATTCTTCAGCTATACATATCATTTTTCTGGTTGTAAATCTCTATCCACTAAACACGGCTTTGATATCATGGGAAACCAGATGAAACTGAGATTAAAATATGTAGCACTCCTTGAAGCTGCATTTAAACAATCCTATTTAATTTTTTTTTAGCCCAGATTACAGGCGATGAAGTCACCCATAGCATGACATAAACTAGATTTGCCTGTGATAATGAGCCACATTTTCAAAATGTGTTGTCTGATTAAGAGCATTGCTTGCTGAGATGTTTTCTCCTCAGTCATTCCAATTACTTTTGTATCCTTGTATAAAACATACTGTTGAATGCGTGTCCAAAAACATGCAGCAAAGATGTACCGGATTTTTTGCAATGTTGGAGGATTCAGGCTAGATATTTAAACGGGCGCTGCTCCTGCTGTGCCAGGATGTCCCCTGCATCAGTCCATCAAGACCAACCCTTGCCAGCCAGGTCATAGCAACACGTAAGTGTTAAACTTCTCTTTTTGAGAGAGAGAAAATGAATCTCCATTCCTGTCCTTCCTGAATTTATATTCAAAATGCTAAAAGCGAACGATAGAAATACTCAAGGAAAACAGCGCGGATGATAAAGGAGAAAAGCTGGGGATTTTTATAGTTGAACAAGTCCCTCCAGGCTACCGAGGCTCTGCCTTTTGTATTAACTTCACAGTGAGGCTGAGGAAGGGACTAACTAACTTGTGTGACTAACGCCATTCCCTTGATTGGAGGAGCGCGCAGGAACGAGGTTTATTTCTACCTTTCTCTCCTCCTTTTGGCAGAGGAGATCTAACTTAGCACCTTTTCACGGTGCAATGAGGTTTTCTTGATATTTTTGCTGGAGTCATTTGCTCTCCTGTGTATTTTGTACAGTCATCCTGAGCCACAGAGTTTCACCGCAAGCTGGAGCAACACTCAGTGGTGGGACTGTTGTGCTATGGAGTCCGTCAGTCCGAGTCTCTTTGTCTGACACTATAAAACGTAACGGAGAAGCACTCCAGGGGGAGATAAAGACAGACACTGTAATGTGCTGAAGGGTGAGTGAGTAGACTGATGGCAGATGCACTTTATTGAGCTTTGGGAGATAAGGGCTTGAATTTCAGCATAGCCTCCAGCAAATATTTGAAGACAATATTCCCAGCCAGTGGCTTAGTCACCAGGCTCTCATTTGCTCATATTATGATGTCTCATTTGTTTTATGCTGAAGCTACTCCACACCGTTACTGGCTAACGATGTCAGAGAAAGACAGGAAGAGGCACTGGCATTTTTACCTAGGCTGTGTCATCACCTCTCCAGCACAAGCAGTCCTAGACACTGCTGGCTTCAGACCCACCTTCAACATGGAAAGGAACGGTGCCTAAATAAGTGATTTGGTGGACTAGATATCAGTAGTGACTCCCCCAGAAGCAGTTAACTATATTTTAAAAAAACAAAAACCCAGCACATCATAAAGTCCAAGTGCAGAGTCAGTCCTGGCAGGAGATCATGGCTACTACCACTCCCAGCAGAAGAAACAGCATAGAGGTTATTCATTACCCTTTTACTGTGGATGCTGAGCAGCACTCAAGAAGAAAAGTAGTTTCATGTACCACATCAATGACAACATCACTGCAGTTAATGTACTGGACACTCAGCCAGCTTCTGTCTCATGCAATCATCCTGTGATGATACTGGGGACTGAGCTGAAGAACACAAGAAAAGCCATAGCCAGTTGTACAGCCGGAAAGTAAGAGCACTGTAGAGCTACCAGGTCAATCCTTCATCACTCTTT